AAGATGTGCGTTTCTGCATCTGGATTTACCATACCTACGTAGACATATAGTCTATTATACTATAGACGATAGTAATAGTCATTGTGTATCTTCAAACGTATAAATATATGCTTGATTACGGTAATAGAACGAAGTATTATAAATTATAAAATTATAATTGAAACGTGTATTATACGTATATGTGTTTCAAATATTATTTCAATAATACTTATTATTTATAGTGATGTATGTTACATGATTTTTAATTGCTACACGTCTTCAATATTATAAATTGGAGAGTGAATTAATTTAGGTATTTTCATTGGCACATATTATTTTGTGATATTATTTGTTGAACGTATAATGTAATCCCCTATTACACGATGGACTTGAAAACTATATTGATCCTTGAACGTAGTCGTTTTAAAGATCAATATAATTTTCAAGTCAATCCCGTAATAAGGAATTACATTATACGTTCAACAAATATTTTCACGAAAATATCTTACTTAACCCTACATGATATTACAACAAAATTTATAATATTAAATTATAATAATCGATTTAACTTGGTTTAATAAGTAACATTATGATAAATTTAATTTTGAGCAAAATTATCCTGTATTTATTATTACATGTACGTAAATATATGAATCTAAATTTTATTCAGAAGTCATTCTTTAAATGTGGCTATAATTATAATATTTTTAATATTTGCAGTAATAGTAATTTTATTTTATCGATTATTTTGATAATATTTTCGCTATAAGAAATCACCCATCCGTAAATCCTAAATATTCAAAGAAATTATGCTAGAACTCGTGAATATTTATACATGAGGTTGTATTCAAAATCACTCGGCTGTGAATCCTACATATTATATACGTGTATACGCTAAATACTTTATGTTTTCAGTGTACATAATTAAGTTATATTTTTAATTAATTATTACGTGCGTTTTCAATAAAAATACATAGGTTTACAGTTATTATTCTTAAGAATAATAATTTGCATCATGTGTACATATATTGATTATTTATACTTCAAAAAAAAAAATAATAATTAATAATAATATATTACCAGTTTTCAAGTTTATGCCGAACAAAAAAATGAAATTTTAGGATAGTGCATGACAATAAATTAATATCTAAAGTAAACGATTATTTTATACATATTACATACATTCACGTAAAAATATATTAGTGATAATTGAAAAATATTTGATTGATCAGATATTCTACAGCTACGTGTAAATAATTCGTATTCCGTATTGTAGAAGTACACAGGTAGACTTTTTCAGTACATTTCTAGCATTCTGCAATCATTGCAGTTTCCGAATATGTGAATTCAGTAACGGCGTTTTTGAGTTACGCTCTGAATATAATAATAATAATCTTCTATAAACATATTATAATCGATTCGCGCATTGGATTTTCTTCTTTTTTCCGTATTTTCGACAGCTTTTACTTCTATTGAACACGTTTAAAATGCGTATAAGTAATCAATGGATTGTACGGACGCATTATTTTAATTATTTACATATACTCGTATTTACCGTCGACGCGACGACGACCAGGCCTTGATAATAAATGTATATCATTATTGTTATTACTATTATTGTTGTCGTGTTCGAAACACGTCGATCTCGTGTAAGTACAAACATGGCGGCGACACATCAAAGAAACGTTATCCGTTCACCGAACGGGTTCCGAACGGACGTACGCTTTTAACTCCGCCCCGGAGGGCTGTACCAATACACGACCAATAGCACGACAACCACGACGCCGTATGCATGCTGCGCGCACTACAATGCACACGTGTCTCTCTAAACGTTTGTATTTACGCGTAACAATGCGGTGAGCTCGATGGTGCGACGATGATGACGCCGAGGTGCATAGATCACGAACACCGTCAAGGGCGTATTTGAATTGAGGCCATGAGGGGGGGGGGGGGGGCGAAACTAATTTTTCTTCAATACAAACTTAAAAATGATTTACAGTTCATTACCTACAGCTCATGTTTCTGTTATAATGATGTACTAGTCATTTATATTCTTAATTATTTATACATTACATTTTTTTTAAATAAATCAATGTATTATATCAAAAATAATACGAGTCATGGGGGGGGGGGTGAATGTCCTCTTCGACCTCCCTCTCTCCCACAAATACGCCCTTGAACACCGTAATGTCGCCGTTTTTAACCATACCGTTTCCACTCGCCCTCGGTACAACAATAATAATATACGAATATATTTTACAGTATCCATAACAATTGCGGTCGTTGTGGTGACCTAGCTTTGAGATGTTACCCAATATAGTCATACGGTACGAGTAAGTCGATAGATCCGCGTAAAATTCAAGCAGTTAAGTCGTAATCGTATGAAAACAATTTTACAAAGAAATTATGAAACCATAGAGTTCAGATTTTTCTCTATTTAAAATTTTTTTTTGTGATTTTATTAGACTATAACGCGTTTAATAATGTTTCAAACAGAAAAATACATGAAATTGAAAAATATAAATTACCCCAAAATTTGGGGTAAATAAATTTTATATATTTAATATATTGTAATTTAGTATTTATTATTTATCTGATAGCACATAACTTTTTATTCTTCTACTATTAGCTTCAATATTATTATTATTATTATTCATATAAATATATTAATTTAATTACTTAATTATTTATTGTGTATTTTATTATATGGCATGTGTATATATATACATATATAGTTTTTATTTTCATTCTACAACAATCTTCAATTTTAATCAATGTCTATTTTTTAAATCGCATTTACTTATAGATACTATACCTTCGTATCTATTTTGATCACGGTATAGTAGCTTTATTCTTGTCTATCAAGAAAATCGCATGTAGGTTTACACACGAACGGTATAGTTACACAAATGTTACCTCATACAATATTCGAAAGATACTAAAATTTATTAGACTATATTTATGCATATATTATAATATATGCCAACGGTTTACTTGACGATATTTTAGGTTTTTCTGTTTTACCTCACCAGATTATATTACCTATAAATCTCACTATTTTTCGTGGGGTTCTGTATTTTTTCCGTGTATAAAATGTATACATATACCTATAATATTATATACACATGTATTCTGTTGCATAGTAATGTATATACGATTGTATTCCAAGTAATACAAATCCATACAATCCTATTACGTTTCTCATAAATACAAAATCCATTGTATATATGGTAGGTATACCTATAGTTATACGCATATACGTGCTTCACTATTCGTCACCACCGAGTAGTTATTCAATATGTGTAATATAGTAACTTGGAATATTTATCATACATACAATATTATATTATAACACATACATATTTACATATAATAAACGATATATATTGATATGAATGCATATATATATATATATATATATATATATATGCAAAAACCTTTGAGCGTATAGGCGTATATTTCTTAGCTCTTTACATATTGCATTTATGCACGCGCAAATATTCAAATTTTAATCCTCGTTACGTCGTGTATACATGTATATTTTGGTAAACTATCTGCCATTTCCCATCCCTATAGTATATATACTTTAACTTGAGCTGATTTTGCCTATACTCATGTATAGGCATCCTATACATATATACGAGAACTGCTCCGCAAGTGCACGTAAGACACAAATCACGGCCAACGCATTTGTCACAATAAAACACATACACACACACTGAATATAAATATATATAGATACATGAGGTGCCTAAAACTGTATATATGTATACATTTTACTATAAAAACTTTTAATTTACTGCGTGCGGAAATGTATAGGAGGTAACCGGCGTTATAATAAAACGCACGCGCCATGAATAATAATAATAATAAAACGAATCTAAATTTATCGACATCGCCGCGGCCGGTATATATGTATATTATATTCTTTTGGACGTTATAATGTTAAAATGGCGAATAAAAAGTACATTATATGCGTGTCTTACAGATCGTAAATGTTTACAAGCTGTGACAAAAAATCTGTTTATAAAAATGAGTCTTATCAAACGAGTTATAAGAAATGTACACATGTATAAATTTATAAATAAAATAAGGATTGATGTAGGTTGTGGTGATGCGTTACATAAAAACAACGATATATAATATAGTACGCATGCAAATATAGTAATAATATCAATAGTGTAATTTTTATTTTATATTTAAGTTTATAGGCACATATTTGGTAAAAAATATAGCTTTGTAAATACAGCTTTATGTATAGATGTTCCGTGACATTTACAATAGTTCTAAGTAACAAGGGATGAATTATTAAATCTGCATTATTGAGTTACGTAAAAAATTAGTAAATGTAGGTAATATAATCTTATAATAATGCGCTGTAATTACATAGTTACGTATATTTTCATATTCATATACCTTGTATGTGAAAATTCGATTATTTTTTTTTTTTTACTGTGGTAAATATTATGAAAATATCCAAAATATCGTGAGCTACGTAGTAAATACTCTTACACCACTTAGTTACCTTTTACGTAAACGTCCGTGGTATCTACTCGTATGTACTATAGAAGTAATTACGATATTATAATGAATTGCTTCTACTCCTCCTCGAAATATGTATATATATATATACAAATAAGTACACCTATACAGTGGCGTAGCCAAGGGGGAACTGAGGAGGCTGAAGCACCTCCCCTAAAACGTTAAGAAAATTATATTAATGGTCTATGAAAATCGCTAAAAAAAATAAAAATATAAAATATTTAAAAATGTTAGTATTAACACTTTATAGCTATCTATCTGTGGTAGTAGGTATTTAATACATATAATGTTGTGCATCGGTTGCGAAAAAACTAAACCACTATTGTTTAAAAATTGATCAGCTTCTGATGAAGAAAAATCCTGGCTACGCCACTGCATTTATATGACCTATATAATATTATGTTTTATACTCTGCACGCGCTTTATTGCTGTATTGCCCGATTTGACACGAGCAGCGTATAGATTTTATTTAAAATCAGGTGTGTTTTTGTTAAATTTTTCAGAACGACGGCGGTTGAGTCTGTGCGTGGGCTGTGGCGGCGCGATAAATGACCAGTACATACTGAAGGTGGCCCCGGACTTGGAGTGGCACGCGGCGTGCCTCAAATGTGCTGAGTGCCATCAGTTTTTGGACGAACATTGTACCTGTTTCGTGAGGGACGGGAAAACCTATTGTAAATTAGACTATGTCAGGTAAACCGTTGTTATTATCATACTATTGGGTTGTTTAATTATTTATTTATTTATTATTTTTTTTCAAAACATTTATTTTAAAAACATTCGTACCATATGATATCGAATTTAAGTGCATGTACTTAGAAAACGAGGGGTTTGTATTTGATGCTCTATGATGAAACCGAGATTTGCTTAAGACGAGTGATTTCTTTTTAACATCAATAACCTACTCGTTTTATAGCAAACATCCACTCATTTTGTGTACATTCTATATAGTTCACGAAAACTCACATTCTCGAAGCACATCACAACAAGCATATATGTACGCAGTTGAATTTTTTACTGCTAATATAATTTATCACTGTGATGTATACGCGCGAGTATACGTTTAGAGTTCAGTGCTTTTATTCGTAACATTTTTCATTTCTCAACAAATTTAGGTACATTTCTTCTTCTATCGTATCATGTTTTTCGGCGAATTGTTCAAAGCAGTGGTTTTCAATCTAGGGGTGGCCAAAAATAATGGATGAAATGGTTTTTCCATATTATTTAAAAAAAACAAAGTAAATTATTTATTAAATTTGTAAGTGTTAATTAATTAAAATTGTTTATCATGTAAATATTTTATCGGTAATTAAATCAAATTTTGATGAATTAAACAAAATTTTTTTTTGAAGGGGTCGCATTACACAAAAATAAAAATTGGGGGTTCATGATCCGAATAAGGTTGAAAACCACTGGTTCAGAGCATGCAAACATGTCGGCTACGAAGTAAAAATAAAAAACTCTGAGTATAAAATATGCTGTTAAACCGATTATCGCAACGGTTTAAAAATCATTAATTTGCAATGTTCGATGATGTATAAAATTCATTACACGATAAATATCCAACTGAGTGATTTAGTTATGTACTTATACTTCGATCCATATTAGACAGATATCGTCTTAATGTTGTTCATTGTACATGTTCATATAATACTGTATGTTCTGTAAAATCACAATAATTGGAAACTATATAATTTTATAATTTAAAAACAACAACATTTTCATTCATTCAATTTGTTTTATAACAATTAATTTAAACTCGTATTATTTTCTTACATTTCTGGATACTATATGAACATTGAATTACCAAAGTTCTACTGTATACAGATAGCATCTCGCACAGTATAATGTATAATTTATATTGGATAGCATAATAAAAATTCAATTGAATGTTGATAGTTACACTTAGCGAATGTGTTTTACTATGGTATATTATACACAGTACATCCAAATCAAGTATTATACGTAATAATTCACTGGAAATTTGGTTTTTGCCGATGAGATTGTTGTAATTCGCGACAAACTGATACGCATTAGGTTTTTATATAAAACATATCAGTATATTTTTTATTAATTTCCGTGAGCATAGTCATTTGATCCATAATTTTCAATTTTTATATATAATGATTGATGTTTACATTTTGTGACGGACGTCAAATACATCTGCACGCCTCTTGTTTTCGAATGTCTGCCGATGTTTACACGGTACTCATACCCGATTCTCCCTTTGAGTAAATAAATCGGCTCCGGGGTCTTCCATGACAGATGACATTGTGTCAATATAGCCATACACACACACACACACACACACACACACACACACGTATTCTATTATTTCCAAGGGTCATACGAATGCCGCCAAAGTTATGTGTGTATGATGAATGTTTTTCTTTTTTTTTTTTTACAAATATGGGCACAGGGAATCTACATCGACATTATATTTTGTACATGTATAAATTAAGACTGGAAAAGTTCTTTTTCCTGTACTGTTCATTGTTCAATATGTTAACATCGATAATACTTAGGGTATTACTTAACGTGATATAACGCATCGGGACGGGAACTAAAATTCTATACATTTCATAGCATATTTGTGATAAATTTTTAAAAATATTCAAAATATCATTTTGGGTTTGATATGATCATCGAAATAAATCTCAATTAAACAATTTACTTGAAGATTATTTGAATATTAAAATTAAAATAGTATTTCTTTTTTTGTAATTATTTTTTCTATCATGTATTAAATATTAAAAACCAACGTGTTTTGAAAATGTCAACAATGTACCTCAAATAATAGAAAGGGATTAAAATAATGAGTTAGTGGGAGCATGGAAGTAAACTTTCGTCCTCTTCAAAGTTTAGTTTTTTTGTAAAACTATTATAGTTCTTAATTAATTATTATAAGTTTATATTTACTGTATTATACATGTTCTACATTCTTCAGCTTACTAATAAAAAAATGTTTTTATTCACCCGTATGATATTTTATTCCGGGTTCGCGTATACTTATACTGTATAAGAACCCGAAATAATATATTGTTTTAGATACAGTAACCCATATTCAGAAATATATTTATGTATGTAGGAATACTCAATAAACGATCCAATCGTTAATCCATAATCCGAGAACACGATAACTACAATTTTCAACTGAAGTAGGTAAAAGAGAAATTTAAAGAACATCTAAATATTTCTATCACTGCTCTAATAAATGTTGCGGCTAAAATTTCTAAAAGCCTTTCGTGTCTCTCCATCTCCGACAGCGTCTTTATTTAAAATCGTCTCATACGTTCACGTTTGTTTCACAACGTTATCGGACGGTTTCGAACGAAATTTGTGTTTTATTTTTTTTTTCTCGGCCCTATAACGTATAAATATGTGTATATTTTATTTTACCGATGACGACGTTGAAAGGATGCGTCAACGAAACTTTTACTGCAGTTCCGCTGCTCCTTCGTCGCTGCGCCGTCGTGTTTACCTTTTTCAGTGTTTTCGTATACACACATAGTGTACGCGTTTACGTTCCTGTGTACATAAAATACGCACTATTGCAGCGGGCCGTAGCGTAAGACTGCGCACATATGCTGAATCCATTAATCTCGTCTTATACTGTGTGCGCTGCGTGGAAAATGAGTATACGAGAAACGTGTGTAAACGATTATTTTTTTCGCACTCGGACGTGTTTGTTTACAGCGACACGCGTAAATACGGTAGTCCATGTGTGTACATATTATTACTACGATTACGGTTATCATTAAATTACTGTACGGTAAACGCTCGTCGTACCGTTGCACGTGTTCCGATCCTGAGGTCCTGATGCGCGACGTACGGGCACAGGGGGTTTTTTTCTTTTCTTTTCATAATCCGTGTGTACACGAACATGTTTTCGAAACGCGCTAATTGCGGTCTCGACGCGATGTTTATGAAATATTTTTAAAACGTAAACGCGGCCTCGTTGGGTGGCCGACGGGATCCGATGTCTTCCGCGTGTTTCTCGTCCGTAGTACACCCCGTTCCACCGCAGCCGCCGAACACTTGTCAATGACGAATTCGACGAAGATGACGACAGATCGGACTTAGTTTATTTTTATTTTTAAGACCCGTCAACCGACTTTTTTTAATCTTTTTTTTTTTTTTTTTCATACGTTCGTTCTCCGAGCCACGATGACAATGTTACACATTGCTCAATGTACTATTATTATTTAGGTCCAAAACCTGCAGCTATACTCGCCTATAATCTATGTATTGCGTATATTTCATACGACCGAAAAAATTTAATTTTAGAATTGTATACGTATATGTAATAGTATACTGTTAACAACTGGGCGATATGAATTTCAAAAATAATCCACGCATTTGAAATGGAAACATTGTGTTATAACGGCGATACACCAGAGTAGTCATAATGGAAATGATAAAAGCGCACGATTTTAATTATAACTTTAAAGTTAGTTAGTTGAATTATACGTTTAATGATGAATCCACGCGAAAGCTCTTTTGAGACGACTCGCCGACGTAGTTTCACGGGAGATATTTCGAAATTTTGGTTTTAATCGAGTTAGTTTCGAATTCATCGACCACGCTGTCTCCTCTCTAAATAGTTATTGTACACCGTCAAAAAGTTTCGACGATTAGAGTAGAGTTAGAATCGATTCGCAACATCATAACCGTCGACAAGAACGGTGTCGACACACGCGTAGAAAAAAAAACAGTAAACGTGACAGTGAACCGCACGACGAGCACTCGCGTCTCCGCGAACAGCAACGGACACGAATAAAAACGAAATTCCGCTAATAACGTTCTCAACGAGCGTCCACTCTTATGCATAATGTATTCAACGTGTGTTGCAGATTGTTTGGCACCAAATGTGATAAGTGCAACCTGAGCTTCGACCGGACCGAGCTCGTGATGAGGGCCAAAACTAAAGTCTATCACATGGAGTGCTTCAGGTGCAACGCGTGCAGCAGGCAGCTCATACCCGGCGACGAGTTCGCGCTGCGCGACGACACGCTGCTGTGTAAACACGACCACGACCACCATCCGAACGTGAACGGCGGCCTGGGCGGCAACGTAGGCGGCGTGAAGAGCAAAATAGCCGCTCAGCTGCAGAGCAACGAGAACAACAACAACAACACCGCGTTGGCCGACCACAACACCAGCAGCACCAACTCGTTGCACCACAACGAAGGGTCCAATTCCGGTATGTGCACCGCGCGCTTACGCATAATTCTTCGCTGCAACTCAAACGCAACGTTTGCGCACATTCAAAATGTTTTACCTGAAAATCGACGACTCGTTTGCGCACGACAAAATCAGTCGTTTACTTGAAAATCGGTAACTCGTTTGCGCACATTCACACGCATGACACGTGTATACATATATCGTCACAGACTGCAGTACAAATTATCAAATATATTATCTTATAATCGACTGTGTAGACTGTAGATTATATAAATTTGGATTTTCCAGACAAATGTTAGTAGGGTTTCGGTAGGAATGGACTATGTACAGGGTGGGGCACTAAAATGGCCGATTTCCAAAGATAAATTTTCTCATTAGTTATTAAAATAAAAATTCTCTCTAAATATTATTAGTTGTAAGACAGCATGCCATTTAGTAAACATGGAACAGTGGAGTGATGAACAACGTGCTTATGCGATAAAATCATTATACAAAAATAATGACAGTTACGTAGTTGCGCAGCGTTCATTTCGTCTTCAATTCAATCTTAAACGCCATGATTCGGCACCATCGGCAAGGCTATTTAAATATGGATAACCAACTTTGAAGACACGGGTTTAGCATTAAAAAATATATGCCCGTAAAAAAAAGCATTCATAAACATCACTGCTGTTAAGACCGTTCTCATAAGGAGTCCGAAATGTTCTGCACAAAACATATTTTTTTTTAAAACTTGTTCAGTAGAAGTCTAGGTCGGATTTTACACAGCGACGTGTTTTTTTTCGTACAGGCTTCTTTTTTAATGTTGAACCCGACTCTTAAAAGTTGGTTACCCATATTTGAATAGCCATGCCGATAGTACTGAATCATGGCGTTCAAGATTAAAATGGATACGAACAAATGAACGCTGTGCAGCTACGCAACTGTTATTATTTTTATAAAACAATTTTATCGCATAAGCACTTTGTTCAGCACTCTACTGTTCCATGTTTACTAAATGGCATGTTGTCTTGCAACTAATAATATTCAGAGAGAATTTTTACTTTAATTGCTACTGAGAAAATATATCTTTGAAAATCGACCGTTTCAGTGCCCCACCCTGTATATGTAATATGTATATATATATAATATCGATACAGTGGTGACTAGTGTGTTGGCGACGTAAACTTTAATATGGCGTAGAAATTTCTAATATTTTTGAATCTCGGTGAGGAAAACGATGTTTTAATGTTGATAATTATAAATTTAGTGAATACCGTGTTTTAATGAGTGGATGTTCAAATCTTAGATGCACTAATAAAAAATGTCTTGCGAGTGTTATTGTTAATAAATCAAACAAAATAATAAAAGTAACCAACTCTCATAATCACGAGGAGTATAATAATCAACGACAATAAGCAAACGAGTTCTGACACTAGGGATTTTCGTCACAGGTAGCCAAATATATATTTGCGCAATCGAGTTGTGAATTTGTGCGCAAACGAGTTTTAGCCATAATTCTTATAGTTCTCTAAGGTAGACGCGGTCGTGAATTAAAATTGTTTACGTATTGAACGCGCGCCAAGGAACCTATTGAACCCATTGTTGTACCCACATTTGTTTCGGACACTACTTATCACTTTACAGCTTGTCGAATGCGCGCAGGATATCGAGCGTGCGGGGTCGTGTCGTATCGACTTATGATGGAAAAAAAAATATATTTCGAGAAATCTCCGTACGAAAACGTTTATGATACGAAGCTCACCCGTACTCTTGTAAATAAAATACACCCAGACCAAGTCGACGATACGAAATCTATACTAGAATACTCGAGTATGTGCGGACGTTAATATTTCGATTGCCACTGCTCCACGTCCGCGGTAAACGATGCACGACGGTATCGCAGGGAAGAGAGTTAGACATCTTTATGAAACATCGCCCCAGGGTTTTGTGTTCAGACGTATACTTTATTGGTGCCTGTGTGTGGTACATACCTTTTGTGTCAAATACATATTTTATACAAAGAAGAGTGTATGTGTGTGTGTTACATGTATATATGGTACCCATGTGCGTGGCCCGAACGCAAACTTTGGTGAAAGCGATGTAAAGGGTGGAAATACCACGTAGGCCAAGTGCGGGGTTTGCGCTCTAGGTATATATTTATATATACTATGACGAGTCATTAGCCTAATGGAAACACCGTACGTACGCGTCACTGCAGGACATCGTCCACCCCAATCTCGGCGCGCGTATACACACAACATACATATTTCACGTGACGTCGGTGCAATAAACTTGTATACCTATATTAAGGATGATTCATTTAGTGGCACTATTTTCAAAAAATAAAAAAATTATTAAAATAGTAAAATTCAATTTTGTTAGGTTATCTTTATCATTGTAAGAAAAAAAACTATTATTTACACTTATTTTTTTTAATATTATATCTTTTAAATGTTGGCCGTAACTGCGGTCAACAATGTCGATTTTAAAATTCACATTTCCAATGACACGTTCAAATATTTCGATTGGTTGTTGACCAATGACATTTATGATGCTGTCTTCTAATTCATCTATCGTAGTCGGCTACTACTTCTACTTCTCACAGTTTCTCCGTTCAGAAACCGCTCTGTCCGTCGCCGGGAAAACAGAGTAATAATCGTTGTATGTAGCGGCGGTATTGCGTAGGATTTTTACAAATAGTCACTGTCTTGGGCACTAGCGTTTTGAGCTAGTCGGATTCGAGTTTTTCGAGTTATAATATGACCGGCAAGAAGACTCGCACAAGCCTCGTGTTTATAGACGTAATTGCGGATGCGTACAACATAATATTATTTATTTTTGTAACTTTCTACATCAAAGCAGTGTATCTTTTGTAGTACACACGTGATGTGAACTAGCACGTGCTTTTATAATTTAAATATCACCTACGACGCGGACGTGGAAAGGCGTTCAAAATAATGTTCAACAACCTCGTGATTCACGTGTGGCGTTATTCGCGCATTATCGTAATGTATGAACGCGCGCGTCCAAGTACACGCATTATATCGATTACGCGTCAGCGGCGACTTGACGAAAAAAAAAATACAATAATAATAATAATAATAATAATATATACAAGTACAAACGCATACGGTGATAAAGCGGAATAATATATATATACTAAACACGGGTTGCCTTGCCGGGGGAGGTAAGTTTAATCACGTTAAAAGCGTTTTCGGATGGTTCTTATAAGGGGTGGCGGACAGAAGTCGTTTTTGTGTCAGCCGCCGCCGACAACCGTCTCTCCCGTCGCCCGGTCGCCCGAATGTTTCTCCGATCCTGCGGCGGCCGACACACGCGCCCGCGCGCGCCCGTTAAACGAACCCTATTTACGCCAAACAAACCCTATTCAACTCCGTGTCCCGGACAATATTCACCGCGACGCGTTTATGGCCGTTAACTCCGCTTTTCTACGCGCCCGCACGCACGCTGAGCACACCCAGTCACCCACACTTCTCGACCGTACTTATGTACGTGTGTGTGCGCGCATAGTACGCATAAGTGTTAGTCTCCCGCTCGTATCTGATATAATACCCACGGTGTATGTGTACAATAATGAAATTAGTCGGCCAAATCGAGTTAAAGTCAGCCCGTGCTGCAAAGTGTTTTTCTCGTTTAATACATAAACGTTTTCGATGCCCGCGACTTCTTGTACCGGGGTATCTAATGTTTCAACGAATTCAAACGACAAATTGAACGATTTCAACGACGAAAACGTTGTCAAAAAACTTTCCGAAAACAACTCTAATCGTATGGTATTATATCCATATGCAATACTATCCACACGTTGCGTCAGAAGTTGATGTATACGTTTCGACAGCAACGTAACTCGAAGACAATTTGTAGTTTTATGATCTTTGCCTTTAAATTAAAACTACAATACATAATTTTTCAAATTTTCAAATGTTTATGGATAATTTATCGTTTATTTTATGTTTCTCACTTATGATAATATTCGACACTGTATTACAGTATATACTATAAGTACTTGATTACTGAATACAAAATAATCAATAAATCATACGTGGCAATCGTCGTTTATATGAGTCACGTAACTGGTATATTTTTCATTCATAAATTCTATAATTAAACGAAATTAAATTGTTTGTTCTAATAACTATAACATCATCCCACGTGTATAGTAATATTGTAAGGACAATATGCTTAGCCATCGCGTATATACGAACAAAGTGGATTTTTCAAAAGCATTACGATGTCTTTGATATACTTATTTCTAATACATTTTTTACTCTACATGTATAGATGAAAAACTATACCCTAACAAACACGTATTATATATATATATATATATAATATAAATACAAATACATCTAAATCATATGAAACTGAGTTAGAGTGGAGTGTGTTAATCTCTTACTACGTAGTACTCAGTGCGATTCAATATGATAATCTTCTTATAGTAGATATGCACGTTCACTGCTTTGAAAGCATCATATACGCTGGAAAAATATTCAAACCATGACGTTGACGTGAATCGTAAATACAACACGGTTAATACAAACAGTACTGTACGAATAATGACTTTACTAATTATATTATATTATTAGGCTTATAATATAAGCTATTTTCTATATAAATATAAAATCAAGTTGCTGCTGCCGTATATAATTATGAACGCATTTTATTTTGATTATTCCATCTGTACATAGGTATACTTACTTTTATAAAAAAAAAATATTTTTATGCGCTTCAATATGAAGTAATATGGTAATGTTCAATAAGTACATATACATTTACATATTTATCATCGTGGCTGTCTAACAAATCTTGTTCTGGTTATATAATTTTTATTTTTTATAAACTTTGCGGCATTAAGTTCTCGAAATGTTACAGAGTATATTATTATATTTATATATAAATACATTCTAGTTCAGAGCAGCAGTGAAATTAACAAGAAAGAATATTAGGCCCCTTGTGCTTGGCGGTGCTCATTAAAGACCGACCCATTAACGGTGGTGGAGCCATTAGAATAATGTT